TATATGAAAAATGAAAGTTTAATATTCTTACCCATGAATTCTTAAGAATAAAATTAAAACACCTAAAAGGGAAACAGACTGAATAGACATCTTGAATAATAAGAAATACTAAAGTTCTATAAACTTACATGTTTAACTTTTCTATATTCAAACTTGTTGGGAATTCCTTTTCTTAAAACGCTAAATGCCTATATTTGGCAAGAATAAACTGCAAGATTCACACTGAAATATATCAGATGGAAGTGTAATGTGCAAGTTTTCTGAAGTACAGTTTGATAATGTGTCAAAAGCCTTAAAATTATGCCCACTAAACTAGACATTTATCTTATGGAAATAATGTAGAGCTATACATTAAGGTTTATATATAAATTTGTTTAATTCAATGTTATTAAAGACATTGAATACATATACAGTCTCTAGAGGATTAATTAGATTATGGCTATGTATTTATATGGCTACTAGAAAAACAGTATTGAATAAATAAGATGAACAGAAAACTGCTTACTGAATAATGCTGAAAAACAGGCTATGAGGCCTAGAACTCTCACTGTGCTGTGCTCTACAGTACCTGGTTGCTTCCCTTTAGCAAGTGTGCAATTAGGGAGTAGGTAGCCAGTCTCCCTTCCCTGCAATTACCTCCAATCTCTGAATTATTCTTTTGGGACTTTCCTCTGTTAGCTTGTATTGAGAAGTTCCCAACTTCGTCTCCCTCCTTGGGAAGGAAAGAAAGAAGAACATCAACTAGACACACCCCATGCAGTTGCTCTCTGCAAAGGACCCAAAAAGAAAGGATAAATAGGTGTCCTCTGAACAGAAGAGTAAGGAAAAAGCACCAAAATACAATAAAGACCCAAAAAGAAATTACTGAGATACAAAAACCTGAATGGAAGTGTAAAGGGGACAGGTTTCAGATTGGGAGTTCATGAAACCACCACAGGGAAGAGGCAAGCAAAATGTCTTCTGTACTCCCAATCAACACCAAAGACACCTACCGTCCCAGGTACGGGAGAGCCACAGAGTCACCACAGTTCTTGAACATTATGTAAAGAGTTTTCCCAAGGTCCAATAAAGAAACAAACACTCAGTCTTCCCAACCCCCCTTTGGGACTAAAGCGCCACAATTATTGTGTATTGTGCCTCTGGGGTTAATAGACTCTGCACCCTACATTCCTGAGATCCTGCTGTCATCCCAGTGTGCCCACACAAAGGGAGATAGAGTCAGGCCAGCAGCTAAGCACAATGTTTTAACAGTGACCTCATCCCCTGCGACTGTGTTCTCTAAACACCATTACAACCAGAGACAAGACTCTGTCAACACCCTTACATCCCTCTATGAAGCTTCTATACACATTTCCCTTCCAGAAACTAAGGACTCCAGACAACAAACCCCCCGAAGACTGAAAAAATCTAGACCATCCCCCAACCCAAATGATTAGACTCTAGACACCCCTTTGCCCATCTCCTGCTTTCTGGTATCCCTGCCCACTTCTCTAGCAATGCCACTAGCACCACTTTTGCTATCCAGAGTCAGCCAAGCAAAAAACCCCACTCAGAAAGCAAGCGACCCTCCCACTAAGCCAACACAGCTTCTTGGTTCTAGCTGGGGTACACAAAGCCCACAAACCTGAGCTCCTTAACGGTCTTTTGTGGTCCTGCCCACTTCCTCAGCTTGGGTTACTTAGGCTTCACTCACATCCAGAGGAGCCAACCCTTTCATCCTCATGGGATCCAGATGTCTCCACTCACTCGCCTGCAACTTCTCCACCCTGTGTGGGTACCTTGAGCTAAGGGGTCTAGTAAAAGGGCTTGTATGGAAGGTAGGCAGGTGATTGCTTATGACTCCTATACCCCTCGTGCACCCTACTCAAGTATAAGATAGAGGGGCTACACCATTCAACTACCTCAACTGGAGGCACCTCCAGTTCCACTTACGGCCTGAGAATACTGGCTATCTCCCCACATGCTTGCCATTGCTGTTGCCCCAGGCGACTCTATACCCTCCACTAAGGAGTTGACATGTTTCAGGCTTGTACCAACCAGAGTATGAAAATACTAATTTGGGTGTCATTACCTGTAGCCTGAAGAATAGTTACATCTTAGTTCAGAGGTATAGCTATAGGGTAGTAGATCCACTGTTGGCTATTGGCACTAGCATGTCTTTATAAAGAGGAGATAACTAGATGATTAGAGAAAAGTCGCAAAATAGCTGGGACAGATCCCTTCTCTAATATTTACTTTTCCTAGTCATTTGGATTTTTTTCCTTAACTTTTTCCTTTTTCTGGTCTTTGCAAGACTGGCTCTTCTGGTCATTTCAAAGTCAGATTAAAAGTCAACAAAAACAGGCCTTCTTTAACCACCTGACTTAAAATAGCCATCCAGCGACTCTCTGTGCCATTAACTTGTTTTATTTTTTTCATATTATTCAGTTTTAAAAGTTTCATACTTTCTTATTTATTTACTTATTTACTTATTTTCTTTCTTTTACTAGAATTTAAGCACTAAGAGTCTAGAAACATCATCATATTCAATACAGTATCCTTAGCAACAAGAATCAAAATTAGAATTCTCAGTTTTTAAGGGTTCACTAACTGCCTATGAGGTGTACGACTTTTAAAGGTAATATTTAAAGCAAAATAGCCTGTATGATAGTTCAGTCAGATGATTTCAGTATTAAGTGTCCTTTCCCAAAGAGTATTTTAACTATGGTGTGACAAAACTAATAATATAAAATACAGCTTTGTCTATCCTCATTTAACTGTGTTATAGATAACTTGAATAACCATTGATGGCATACTTAACAGTTTGTAGATGGCATAAGATCAATATGAGTAAGACTGTATTAAATAATAAAACCAAAGATTTTTTTAAAGACTTTAACAGGATATCTATGAAACAAATTTTGCCAAAAGAAAATTGGTTGAAGATATTCAATCTTACTCTTGTTTAGAAAATAATTTTGCAAAATCAGGGAGAGAACACTTAGAACTTCAGTTAACCCTGAGCTCATTATGTGTTAACAGCATGATAGACTTGCCAAGATAAAAAATAAATATGAATCTAACCATTGATAAAGCATAGGGCACAGAACAAGTGAGATGATAATTTCACACTATTTGAACTGACCAAACCAGATCTAGGATGCTATATTCAGTAGTATTTGGTCCTGTATTTTAAGAAGATGATCAGCAACTGGTGCCATTTTAAATAAAAGTAATCAGGGTGGCAAAAAGACTTGATATTAACTTATTTGAGTAGGTAGAGTCTGGAGACATCTAGTCTAAAGAAAACTTGAGGAGAACATTTATGAACACTGTCTTTAAATATGTGAAAGACCTTAAGGCAAAAAAATTAAACATTTTTCAGTATACTAAAATCAAGTATAAGTAGTTCATGGCTCCACTCTACAAGAAAGTAGAATCTGGCTCCACTCAAGAAGTGTGTTTAAGAACAATTTTCAATGTATACATCTAAAAATGCAATACATTTCCTCAAGAAGTAGGTTTCCAGTTGGAAAATCTGAAAGCAAAAACTGCACTTAATGTGCAATGCTGCACATTAAGGGAATTGAAGCACTGAATAAAGCAGCAGTCCTTAGACTGGGATCATAAAAGTAAATGAAGATTTTTCTAAGTGGTAGCCAAACATACATATGAGAAGCTCAATTTCCAGATTTTCAGCTGCCTAAGGTACCTTTTACTAATTATTTGTAGAAACCTTAGTGGTCAAGCAGATTTTACTTTCCCATCTTCTCTTTCACAATTACTTTTTAGCAACTTCATAAAAGAAAGGCATGGATTTCATTTACTTATGATTTACTATGAGGCATTGCCTTAGGGAATAAAAATCTCTGCTCTTTTAAATAAGAGACAAGTTTAAACATTGGAATTGCTATTGCTAATCTAGTTATTCTGATAACAGAATTTCAAATACTTCTTCAGTTTAGTTGGATTTCCAACTTTTTGCTTTCAACAAAATTAAAGGAATACTTAATAGGATAGTCAGCTGAAATATATTGAAAGTAATTTTCCATAATGAGTCATCATATTTCTGACATGTAACTCAAAAATTTCACCTAATTGAGTGACATTGTTTTCACAAAAGATCTCTCATTCCTATCTTCATATTATGTGAACAAAGTATCTCAGCAATTATCTCTATTAAATACAAGATTTCATTTGATGATGATATTTGACTCATTTTAGCAATAAGTAATAGTCTTTTTTTAAGAGATGCATTTCTAATGAGATGATTTTTATATTTAATAATATCTTTCAAAATTTATAAATATGTTTTGATTAATTATGTGCTAATAACCATTGCAATAGTAACTTAATCCAGAATGATTTTATTACTAAATTACATGTTCATAGAAAGTTTAGAGAAAATATCGTACCAGAAAAAGCATGATAGGGTTATTAATTTACTCAACATATATTTATTGAGTGCCTACTACATGTGCAGCATTATTCAGTGCTTGAAAAGGATGCAGTAGTGAACAAAAAAGGCAAAAA